AGCATAATTGTAACACCATGATAAAATTATCACAGTGAACGTTGTTTTCATTTTATAAATTTTTGTTTTATACACTTTAAATAACGTGCAAATGAGATTTGATCCCCAAAACCAATACTATAAATTAGAGTCGAATTGATGAATGACACGGTGCGTTTAGAGTACCACTTGACTTGGGCTAAGAAGCAAGCCCAACGTAACTTGAATAGCCTACCCACGTTTCCTCGTTGGTTCACGTGGACACGTTTTCATAGTTTTCTATCACTTTATTTTTGTCGACTTCTATCACTTTTGGTGTTTTGTTTTTGTTTATATATATATATACATATATATTTGTCAATTAATTTGGTCTATCTACTGTTATAAATTGATAATTATAAACATATACATATTTAAGTATTTAACTACCGTATGTGTAACTTTATTAATTATTATCAGTCTTTTGTCATAATATCATAGACTATAAACTAAACATTCAACTACTACATACATAATTAATAACTGCTCAAAACAAAAAACTATGTACAGACTTAATTAAAAAAAAAAAAATTATATCAACAGATCAATTGATCCATTGATAAATAATATGTTTGGATTCATACGGTAAGACATGATATTTTAGACCATCATTAACGCAAGTTTTTAAGGAAATTTTTTAACAATATTTTTGATTAAAATAATCAACAAAAGAAACTGAAAAAAAAAGAAACTAAAAAATTTAGAAACGTTTCTTATATAATATTTCTTATATAAAAATGTTAAAAAATGTTTTTTATACCCATGTCAGCTTTCTATCCAAATATAATATTAAGAAAATTTAAAAAAATTTTATAGGTTTTTGGGTTAATATTGTTTTTATGCATTTTCTTTTCAATATAATTTATTTTTTGGTTGGGGAAAGGAGGGAGGGGGATTTGTAATACTTTTAATTAAAATCTGCAATATATATATATATATATATGCTTAATAAAGTAGAAGAATAAGAAATGTTAAAAAAAAAAGAAGAAAAAGAATAATCGCAAAATAATGGACCGTGGAGTGACTAGTGAGAATCTTATCTGCTCTTTAGAGCATTTTGGTACACCTTTAAGATCACCTCCAATAAGAGTATTTAGAAAAGCTCTTAACAATTAAAATAAAGAAAAAAAATGAAAATAAGAGAGAGAAAGTCTTTAAAATCCTTATTTAAGAACTTCATTTGCTAGAGGCTCTACATGTGTCTTCTTTTGATTGGTTTGTTTTTAGTTTTAGAATTAAAATTTAATTATATAATTATATTATATTAAAATATTAATATTTATTTGTTTTAGATATTTAAAATAGGTTTTAACCATTGGAGGTGGTCTAAGGTTGGCGGGTTGGTGTTTCATAATTCGAGTTATTTTAATCATAGTCATGACTATGATATGATTTTTGATAAAGCATGTGTACAAAAATTTTGTTAATAGAGAAAACTAAAAGGACACAATATAAAGAATAATTAAAATATAAGCACCCGTGGGTTTTTTTACCTCAGTGCCTCATCATTATATGCCGAATGAACGTTAGCATATCAAATCGAAAATCTGCTAAAGAATATGATCTAATGATATCAAAATCAAGCATCAATTAAAAGCTGGTCAACATTTAATAAAACCGGATTATTATATTAGAAAATTGCATCAAAATATTTTATTTTTATAGATTTTAATGTCTCAAACTTCAAAGTTTGTCCTAAGATTCGTAACTACGAAATTACTTGAATAGAATCTGTTCTATAGAGCCCCTGTTTGAGAACAAAACCGGTGTCCTACTAATTTTCCAGACCCTATGTTTAGATCTCTGAGTCCTGAGTTTACGATTCTATTTGGGCTTAATATTTCTGTTAGATCTTAATATCTTATAGTTTCACTTAGACTTATTCAACAACACTTTCAAGTGAATTTGAGTATAAGGGCCTAAAATAAGAATATTATTTTTTAGGTTTCATAAATTTGACCCAATATGTTAAAGATAAGAATGTTCGGTAAAATTTATGTGACACATTTCTGTTTACGTAAACGGTTCATTCGTGCCTCTACTTTGAGCAAAATGATAATTACTAGATATATATGTAATAAAAAGACATAAAATAGAGATAAATGGACTATACTTTAATTGGCAAGAATAACCAAGTTTTGAAAACTTGTTGAAATTATGTCATGAATGTCCTCTTCTGTTCTGTCTTACCAGATTGTGAAGTTTATGAATTTTGGAGTTGAGAGGTTTCATTACTATAAGAGGAATCAGTTATCGGATGCTTGGCCAGTGAAGTCATCTTTGATTTGTCTTTTCAAATGAGCTCTAGAGGAAACAAAATGGTACCACTGCACTCCAAACAAATTTGTACCTCCTCTCAATCTCTATTGCAAGGCCCAAGTTGTTGTTCATTGGCCATTTATGGGAAAACCTTTTCTAGATTATATATGGGTTAATTAGAAAACACATATGCTCTTGAAGAGCTTCAAAAGCAGGTTGATTATGGCAAAAATGTTCATTTCATGCACTAGACCATTCGGCAGAAGTGGATGATTCAACTAGAGGTGTGGATGAACCTAAACTGCAACATCTAACTCCATCTACAATGAAGCATGAATTTAGATATTTTGTTTGAAAGAAGTTAGATATTATTTTTTTTTCTTTCTTAAATGTAGTTATTACTCTCTCTTCTTTTATTCATTCTAATTTTTTTTTTTAAAAAAGTGTCAATTGGAGTATGTTTGATGCCTGAAAACAATTCGAGCTGGAAAGTGTAAATAGGGAGTATGTAACTGCAAATAATTTTTTTTAACATGGGTTAAAAAACCTAAAATATCTAATATCTAATAACTAGAGATAGATGGAGTATGTATTAAATGGCAAAAATGTCCAAATTTTGAACTTGTTGAAGTTATACCTAATAACACATAATTAATTTTTGATTATTTCCTTCATTCGTTCACTCATTTTTAAAAAAAGTTATATTGAAACCTTTCATTTGATCGTAATATTCAGACACGTAAATTTTTTTACTCGATTCTCGTGAGATAGATATCAGAAATAAGCAAATTACTCGATTACTCAAAGACAATGCTTTTTCCTTGCTGTTACACAGTACTCACTCATCCTGTAATTCGGTCTTGGTTCGACTCCCGCCCGTCAAACGAACTTATACCACCTCTCAATACCTATTGCAACGCCCATATCGTTGATTACTTGCCATTCACCCGAGAGTCTCTTCCAGAAGCCGTTTGGTGTGCTACAGTCACTGCCAACGAGAGCTAGTGAACAGAGTTGGTTGTGAAGCTCTGGTGGATCGTGTTCAAAAATATCCAATTGGTGCACAAGGCCACCTGGTAGAACTGGCTGGTTCAAGTGGAGATGTTGATAAACTAGAAGTGAAATATCCAATGCCATCTGCAAAAAATCTGATTCTCGTGAGATGGATATGAGCGCAAGATGGATATAAACGCAAGATGGATATGAAAGCAAGATGGATATGAACGCAAGATGGATATGAACGCAAGATTCAATCCTCAGCAGATGTCTTACGTAACAAGCAAATGCAGATTTAGAAAGCCCCTGCGCAAGATTCGATCCTAATTTACGAAGAATGGAACTGTTGTTACTCGATTTGATTCTCACCAGATTGCTTGAGATTTTGTGATCAAACCGAGGATAGATAAGCCATCAGAACGCAAATTCCATCGTAATCGACTCTCACCAGATAATAGAGAAAGCGCAAGATTCGTAGTCTTTGGAAGATATACCGCTTTTTTTTTTTGAAAATAATTCGATGTTTAACAATAATCATAAAATGACTAACATTTTAAATATAAACTAAACTAAAAGAAGACATTAAAATAGTATTAAATCATTAATAACAAAAATAAACTAATAACACACATTACACCAAATAAAATCATGTTTATTTCCCTCACGATTCTGCTCATCTATTATATTAAAACAGAAGCACATTTAGTACTTGCTTCTAAACATCCTTAATTTTTTTTAAGTGTTTAAAAATAATTTTAATAATTATTTATATTTAATTTCGAAAATTAGTTATTAATTCAAATATTTTAAGAGTTCCTTAAAAATATGGGTAATTTAGATTTGATTTGATTAAAAATAATAAATCAGATATTAATTTGAATTTGATTTAAAGATTCTAATTTAAATAATCTTTATATACTATTAAACATTTTTATCAAAAATATCTAGAATTTTTGAAAAAACATAATTCACATATGAAAAATAATGGTCATATTTGAAATATAAAATATTTATAATGATGTAAATGATATGATATTTATGTTGCTATAATATATTTACGATTATGATTTATTTACAAATTAATAATAAAATAATAGGTAAAATTCAAATATATAATTTAAATATTAAAAATATATTTTTTAAAATTCATAGAACTAAAAATATATAAAAAATCGGGTTAAAAATATTTTGGTAACTAAAATCACTAATCTTGAATTATACATGTATATCGAAAATATATTTTTCATACAAAATAAAAACATAAAAAATTAAAAATTATTGCATACACTATAATGTGGTTTGAAAAACCAGTCGTACACTCCCTTCGTTGATTAAATTTTAGAAAATTATAATGCTAAATAATATTGTTAATACATCTCAAACTTTTAACAAATATTTATATTATACAGTAATATGAAGGGAAAATTTAGAATTATGTTTTTATAATAGTTCATTTTGAATTAATATAAGCGGACGGGTTAAAATTATATTTTTATAATCATAATTAATTTTAATACTATAAAAATATATATATCTAAACACAAAAATCAATATTTTCATTTATTAAAAAATATATTTATAAAAATAATTATATCTAAACTTAAAAACACAAATTATATTACAAAATTCGTTAAACAATAAAAAATATTCCCGTGCGGATGCAAGGGTTAGAATCTAGTTTTCTTTAAAATGTATTATTGAGTTCTTAATCAAAATCTACAAAAATCACAAATAAAACAAACAGAAAATTACAACAACATTTTAAAACTACCCTGATCCTATACAAATACATACAGTGAGTGAGATAAAAAATGACCAATCTCAACATAAGTTTCCATGATTCCTTTCCGGTATATGTTAACCCGCAAATCTGAGTGCAGTTTGCATCCACTCCATATGTTCAAGGCACTCGAGCTACTTTTGGCCTCGAATGAAAGACCAATCGTGTCGTAAAGATTTGAGAAAATGTTGAATTGAGATTCAAAATTGCGGGCATTTACCATCGGTTCAGAGGTAAACCGATGAGGAAGATTCTGAGGAAGGCAAGGAGAGAGAGGAGACTCCCTCCAAAAAGGCAAACTTGAAGTGCTTTCTTCTTCTTTCTTGGGGTTAACCAAGTGAGATGCTGGAGACTAGACTCTAAAATGGATTCACCATCAAGATAATACACCTAGTAAAAAAGTACTATCAAGATCAAGCAAACAAGAACTTAATTTACATGAGATTCAGTGTCCGGATTGGAAGTAGAACTTACCGGTAAACTGTTCAGAAGGACTAGTGCAAGAGAGACATGGAATGTGCAGGTCAAGCTCCTCTCTAGGATATCCGGTAAGGATTTTCCAAATAAGTTAAATAACGAACGAGGTTGGTATGCGGTTAGATGAACTGAACGTGACATGGCAATCAGATCACCGACAAATACAAACGTCCCAAGACAGTTCGAGCTATTGAAATCCAGACCAAGTCCAGAACACTCGTGTGATGAGGTTCTTCTATAAGTGATTTCTGTCCATGAAACACCTGGAGATTGGATTGCTTGTAAACACCACTCACCCTGAACATCAATAATCAAATGCATAGAAAGTCAATTGATATACAATACAATCCCTGTTTTGAGGGTATTCTCAAACGATAATCACCTGTGAACATACGCAGTCACTTTTAGTATCAGTGTCTGATGTTGTCACCCATCCATCACCACATTTGCTAAGCTTAACGATATCCTTTGCATCCAAACAAACGGAAAAGTCTTTTAGCGTTGCATCTGAGCATGGCATTGGTAGAAATGGAGTGAGATCATCACGACAAACATATTGTTGCTCAACCATTTTCCCCTTGAACCCTTCTTCAATCAAAGAGATAGGGACACAGTAACCCTTCCCGTGATGAAACCTCCTTGAGCCTCCAGTATTCAAGGAAGCATTGAGAGTTTCGCTGTTTTTCTTATCCAAAATCGCTGACAGTTCAAGCCACTCGCTAGGTTTATGGACGCGTATGCCATCCAAGGACACGATAGCATCTCCAGGAGACAAGTAACCAAACAACGGCGACTTAGAAGGCACTCCCACAACCTACAAAAAGCAGCTGAAGTATTAAAGCTTCTACATGGGATTTGGTAAGGTTAATGAAATAACATTAGAAACGCACCACGAGGCTTTCCCCATGCTTGTAGAACGGAGACAACATCACAGGCAAGAGAAACAAAGCGAACGCGCAGAGTACACAGAACTGCAGAAAGGAATTCAAAATCAAGATCAAGGGCTCTCTTATTGCAAAACACACAGAAAGACAATAAGAGAAGAGAAAGGAGCTAAACCAACCACAGCATTATGCCAAATACCAGCACAGTAAACACGAAGAGCATTAAAGCTTGGAAGTGATTGTAAGAGATCATGATCGAAAGCTACAAGACCTCCCGGAAATATAGCTGCGATGAAAACGGCAATGTATTCCATCTGTATCCCTTCACTGCCGCTCAATCAGAAGAAGCCTATAATTAAGCAACTAATATAATCTAAGAGTAAAGCTTCAAAATCAACCCAATTCTATTTCACAAGGAAAGAGCGTAAGGCATTACGAATGAGAAAAAGGTGAGATCTTTAAACTAACCTAGCAGCAGCAAGAGCATGGCCAAGTTCATGAACTAAAACAGTAATAACAGTGGAAACGAATACGTAAACGAGGCCGGAAAGTGATACACGCTGCAAAAACACACAGTCAAAGTAGTTAGCTTTTGTTTTTTCGAATTTCAAGATGAGATTTTTTTATGGTAATCGAGCTCACCGTTGATGGAGAGAATCCGAATACGGCGGAAGCGAGGCTGTTGGAGAGTGGGTTAGAGTGGAATTGAAGGAGAAGGAAGAGGGTAACGAGGAGAAGAGAGGCGACGCCGAATCCGACTCCGATTGAGAACCAGATTTTCATCACGCCGGAGAATCGCCGTCCAAGGCGGGAGATGGGTTCGTTGAACATCGAGATCTTGAGATCGCAGTAGCAACACGAGGCTTCGCTTTCCGTATCTCCGCCGTGTCGCAGAGGGAGGACGGAACCGTCATTGTTTTCGCCGCCGTCGGTGCCGGCGAGGCGGTTTCTTCCGAATCTTATCCTAAATCTTCTCACTCGTCGTCCTGAGATTTCCATCGGAAAATTCAGATTGGTTGTTTCTCAGGCGATGATGGTTTATGTTAGAGCCGATAAAGTAAATAAAACCCGGTAAGAATCGGACCGGAACAGACCCGATTGGACCGGTTATTGACGAAAGGAAGACTGAAGACAGAACTCAGAAGGAAGAGGTCGGTTCGGTTTTTTTTCTTCTTTTCAATATTCTGGTTTAAAGGAAGACAGCATTTGATTACAATTTCAAACCGAGCAATAAACCATGTAAATGAAGCAAGTTTGAGCCAGAACCGGACAGGGAGATGCCTTGTCTGACAATGACATAAAGTCAAAGAGGTTCGAAACTTCAAATCACAAAGAATCTTTGACGTAATCAGAAACATTTTTCTTAACTTGTTATTGGTGTTTCTCGATTACAAGATTGATTTTTGAATAACTTGATTTATCTAAGAAAATAAAACGCAAAAGAAGTTTCATTTCATAAATAGTGAGAGAACCCATGCATCTTTTTTTTTTTTTTTAATAATTAGAGGGAATTATGATTCTTCATGAAGATGCATCTTCACCCCTCTTTTTTTGTACACGAACCGAAAAAAAGAAGAAGATACAAAAGAAGGAAAAATAAGGATAAACCAAGATTCAAAGAAAACAAAAATATAGGTAGGGTAACTTATCCGCTGGTTCTTGTTGGCCCATTTCGCAAGCGCGCAACACAAGCAACCCACACATGCGTCCTTCTTCCACTCTTTAATATTTCTCAAAAGAGAAATCGAAAAGAACCACAGAGAATGTAAAGAAAGAAGAAGGGATTTACTCAGAGTCGGTGTCCAAATTCTCCATACCTTTCAATCCTCTCCGTTTCTGCTGCTGCATTTATACAATTCAACATAACATTTTTCAATTTCATCCCATTAAACCTCTATTAATCATTACATTTGTCTGCTTTCACTTTAAAACCGCATAAGCGAAACAATAAACACCTACAAAAACATTAATCACCCTTAGCAGTAAACTTAATCAAGATCCAATGGAAATCAAGAATTCAAAACTCGGGTATTTTGTTTTCGATCAACAAAACCGGGTATTAATCAACTAATCATACTGTTTTCAATTTGATCACATAAACAAACACAAGATCAAATAGTTTTTAAAAAACTTAACTAACCGAGTAAAACCCACTTGTGATTTTTATTGTTATTTACTATATGTTATTTCAAATATTACTTTGAAAACAATTTTTTAAAAACTAGTGTTCTTGTCTCTTTTCCTTAAGAAAATGAGTTAAAAAAAACAGTCCATTATTCTCCATTAGGAGGAATAGTAGGTCCCATGTCTTTTCCATTTTCTTCTTCATATTAAAATACATATCATGTTATTTATTAATAATAAGGTCCACCCAATTTTGTTTACAAGTTACAACACACCACCTTCTCTGCCACATAAAAATATTATGTAATATTATATAGACACTAGACCCAAACACATTCCATCATCTGTTCTTCTACTATAATCTTAACTTGTATTAAGTCTCTTTTGTCATTATCAAAGAAGTAAGAAAGGTTTAGTAAAGTTAATTACCTTCTTCACATTTTTCTTCTCCCTAACTTCATAACGGTTCTTAGTCAAATCTGATAACCACATCCCTGGAAAACAATACTGTCCACAACACACCGATTAACAAACTTTCAGTTTTCTCTTTTTTTTACTGTCCAGATAAAAATGAAAGACTTTGGATTTTTTGTTTTTAATTAATGAATCTACCTGGAGGGATTTATCAATGTTCTTAGCTCGTTTCCTGGGTCGATGAGGAAGCTTTGTTCCCTTCATTACCAAGAAATCTTCTTCCTTTTCTTTCCTAGACAAGGCAATGTAGATCCTTGGCCACTCTACCACTTCCACATGTGTTGCTTTCTCTCTCTCTCCACTGTTATTGTCTCTCTCCAGCTCCGGATGAGCCTGAGCCGTTGATTCTGATCTGTTCACTCTCTGATGCTGTTGTAGATGGTTATGATCGAACCCGTTTTGTCTCTGGTTATGATGATGATGATCTCTGATGCTTGATCTCTTCTCGATTTGGTCAGGAGACGGTGGAGATCGCTTAGAGACGGCCGATCTGGACACCATACGCCCGTTGGTGTTCCTTGATGGTGATCCGTTGGCTGATCGATCTTCTAGATTCCTGGGCATGATGATGATGATGAACAGCTTAAATCCACAGGTGATTTTGTTTCTTTTTAATAAAGCAAAAAGTTCTAGACTTTGAAAGAGTAAAATGAAATGACGATTTTTTTTTTTTTTCTTCTTCTAGGGACGAAAATTAGAAAAAGAAACTAGCAGTACCCATTACATATTTTTAAAGAATCAGAATCAAAACGCAGACAAAAAAAAAAGTTAAAAGAGATTTTTATCTAATAGGGAATGAGGGACCAAACAGAAAATAAGAAGAAATCTAAAATCGATTAATATTGTGATTTCAAGCACGAAGCCATATTTGAAGATTGGGTCAAAGAAAGGCAACGAAATTTTGAGAGCTTGTATTTCAGAAAAAATAACAATCAAAGATTTAAGTTGAAAAATCTTAACAAGAGAAAAACCTAGAAACAGAGACTTGGGGAAAGGCAAAAGACATAAACTCTGTTTCTGTGTGTTACCAAGGGTATTACCGTAACTCCCTAAAAAAGAGTTTTGGATCACCATCTTTTTTGTAAATGCTTTAACCAAGCGTTTGGATCTCAAAAATCATATAACCAAAAAAAAAAAAACAAACCCGGAATTCTAAAATAGCAATAAAAACAAATAAAATAGGAAACAGTATTTTTAACACATAACATGGATGAACAAAAGAGGAACATATAAAGTCACGATCAGAGAAATTTAACTTTACAGTAAACAATATCTAAATTTTTTAAAGTAAACAATACTGTAAAAAAAAAAAGACAAATCAAATCTGTTCTTACATTTACGGTAAAAAATATCTATCAAAATAGGAAATATAATGGAGTGAGAGAAATTAAGAAGAAGATTTGAGCTAAACCTGGAAAGCAAGAATTCCTTGCCGTCGACGAAACCGTTTCTAACTTTAGCACTCCGGCCAGAGAAAACCGGCGGAGGTGGTGCCGGCGGTGGCATAGACGGATTTACCGATCTTCTCAAACTCTTGCTCGATTGCATCTTACCTTGTCCTGAAGAAGACGAAGAATCATCGGCGGCGGCGGTTGTTGATCGGATCTCGGCTCTCGAGATTCTCGATCGCTTTCGCTGTCCCCACTGCAACAGCACATCTCCTCCGCCGCGACGGCTAGGGCTAGGATCTTGCTGCTGGGTGGATCTGAATCGGAATCCTTTGGGGACTCCGTCTAAGGATGAGCTTGTGGTGGTGGTTGTGCATGATCCGCCGTTGAATTCTGTTCTGGCGACTTCGTTTGATGCTCTTGAAGGTGAAGGTCTCAAGTTCGGCTTTTTGCCTCCGTTTGTGAGGGGAAGACAATCTGGGCTTACTCTCTGATACCTAATCAAAACAAAAATCAGATCAAGCATCAACAAAATGCGTCTGTGTTCTATGCGATTTGGTGAAGAGGAATTTCTCAAATTCTTCTGAGTTTTATAGTAGCTAATGCAGAAGCTCTAAGTGATTTTTTTTGTTGAAGATCTTTTGGTGCTCGAAAGCCCAGAAAATCATAATCTGGTTGGTGGATTCAATTTTTGTGATCAAAATTGAAAACTTCTGCATCTAACGAAGATGAAATCCGGAGAAGGAGACTATTTTGACATTAGAGTTATAAACACCGTTGATAGTTTTTCTTTTTCAAATCAAACCCAGATCCATAGAAACCATTAGAAATTCGAAAAAACAAATCAAAATCCAGAAAAGGAAGAATGAAGAGAAAAACCCAAATCAGTGGAAAATTCCGATGGTCAGCGTATCCGGAAAATGGAAAAGCTCAGAGAGGCAAACAAAAAGTAAAACGGAGAAGACGAAGAAGAATAGGAAGAGGAGGAAGAAGAGGGAGAAGAGAAGAGAGAAACCTCATCATTATACCCAAGTGAAAACTCGATTCGAATTTTGCAATGGTATGTTTTCCGATTCCCGATCTGTGATTATTTTCAAAAATCTAGGATTCGTTTAATTTTCTCCACACCAAACTTTTTCCCGATTGAAACACAGCCTCCTCGTGCTTCCACTTTCTCGTGCCGATCACCAGAGAAGCAAGGAAAGAAAATGAAAAGAAACGATGACGAAAATATCTATGTATAGAGAGAGAAAGAGAGAGGAAGAATAAGAAGAAGAGAAGAAACGGAGGCTCTGCGTTAACAGTGATGAGGAGGAGGAAGAAGAAGGCGGAAGGGAAGGAGAAAGATAGTGGGTGCGTTATTGTGGCGAAACTTCTTTTATTCTTTTTATTTTCCCAATCGAGTCCTTCAAATTTCTCTAGACTTCCGATTCACTCCCCATAGTTCTTTTCCTTCACACCTTACGTTACATAATCCGGCCCATCACAAGGCCCACTAGTTAGACTCTTTCGCAGCCAGAGCAACTTGTGATAAAAAAACGTCTCCGTACCAATTTGACACTAGAACCAATTTTGATAGTGACGCTTTACAATTACGCCCAAGAAACATATGTACACCGAAATTCTTCTTGCAAGATTCGATTAATTAAAAAAACGAGATGTTTAATCCAAAATCGAATCAAAATTTGTTTATTAACCAGAAAGAAACCAATATTTGTTAGCCAAACCTAACCAAGTAAACCGGTATTATTACAACTCAAAACGAAGACCAAAATGATTTTATTGGATTCCAGATTACGTACAACAGAAAACCAGATGAGCAGTTATGAGCAAAAGGCTTGTATTCAAAGAGAGAGTTGTCACAAAGTTCAAACACTGAAGAACAAACATATTCCACAATTCTACTTATGACAGTAAAACATCGCCAGCTTGAGTCTTTGGGGTAAGAGAAGCTCTCTTTTTTATCTCGAGTTCTGACTTAGCGGAAAAGGCGTGGAACAGATCTTTTAGGCACTTTTCCTTCGAGCTTTAGTCTTCGATAGGACTCTCTGATATGGCAAGGTCTGATAGGTCCTGATTCTTTCCTTTCCCCCATTACAACTCGAGCTGCAAAACCAATTGTTCCATCAAGCGAGTTTAGCTTCTTCACCGATTCAAATGTTGGCACCGTATATAATTGAAAAAAAATGTCGCTAGTCTTACCTGTTTCCACGAGTTCACCAACAAACATCTTTGCGATACCACAGGTAACGATTGTTATTGGCATACTAATCTTCTGACTCCCTATGACTCCCTGTAACAACTGCATTCAAAGAAAAACACAAACAAAGCTAATGGTTCTTGAATCTTGTTTCAATGAAGCAAAAAAAAAGAAAAGAAACTTGTGTTCAAAACACAAATCAAATGTACATTACCTTCCTCATGTTTCCTTTTTGCAAAGCAGATCTCCTGAAAGATTCATATCTGCTCATCTGATCCTCAGTGAACTGCGATAAAATGATCCTGAAGAATTCAACAAAGAAACAATCACCAAGCTCAGATTTTTAGTAAGCTGATAAAGAAAACAGGAAGAAAATTGAAAACCAAAAAAAAATACTTACTGCATTTTAGCCATCTTAGCAGGATCAGCAGTGGTTGGGTATTTGGTTAGCTCAGCTTCCATATTCTCTTCCTCTTCTTCTTCGTCGTCATCTTTGTTCTTAGCTTCAGAAACAACGGAGGTTTTAGGCTTCTTCATCTGACGGCGAACACCCACATCTCTCTCATCCTCTTCCGGAGTCTGGTCGATTTCAATTCGACCCTCGTCACTACCATCTCCTCCGCCTCCGCCTCCGCCGCCACTAACGGGTGATTCCGGCGGCGATTCCTCTTGCTCCTCCTCAATTGCTGCTTCGAATGGATCCTTCGAATGCTTCATTCCTTTATAAAACCTAAACGAAAATCACAATTAAAACGAATCTCAACTATAGAATGAAAAAAATCGAAGAGATCAATTAGGGTTCCAAGATGGATAGCACAATAGATAGCGAAGATAATTAACGAACCTTTGAGGAATTCTTAAGAACTCAGGACCAATTTCAAGTGGCAAGAATCAATCGACCTTTGTTCACAGCTGGGGAGCTCCAAAATTTTCTAGGCGGAGAGGAAAATTCTTCGACTGTTCGATTTTGCTCTAGTCAGTTTAATACTTTAATCTAATCATATTTAATAATCTCAAATATTGTTTAACCGAACCAAAAAGTTTGGACCCGGACCGAATCAATTCAGTTAGCTTGGCTCGATTCAAAACCGACAGATAAAAATTGAATACAATTGTAGCATCAACCACATAGTGTTTCAAATTAATCATATGACCGACAATGCTTTGTGGTAGTGAATTATATATATATATATTTTTTATAATAACACATAGTGACACTTTTTCAGTTTATATTTACATTTTATGACACTTTTGTTTTTAGTAGCACTTTCTACTTGAAAATTTTTGTGAAAATACAAAATACTCCTTTGGTTTATTTGTAAATGAATAAACCGATTTTTATAAACCTATTATGATATGATTTCCTTAACTCATTTTAAACCAAAGCCATTTGTCTTCTTCTTTCTTCCTTCTTTTATCTTCTTCTTCTTTTCTTCTTTCCTCTATTACTTTCATTTTTCTGTCATCTTTTTCACCAACATCTCCAAACTCAAAAAGAAGTAAAACCAGATCTGAGTTATCTTTGAGTCACCAGAAAATTCAAATGTATTTCTTAGCCCGAATCTGTTATTCACCAACCTCTGCTACTTTCTTCTTCTTTTTCTCTCTCTGTTCACTTTTCTTTCTCTTCTCCCCCTTGTTCTCTTCTTTAAGCTGAATCTTCATCTCTTTTTATGATTAGTATAAGTAAATAATATATTTCTTTTATCTATATTTACAGGTATCATGATTAAAACAAGCCTACCCATGGAATTAATCTATACCTAGTTTCTGTTTTTTTTTTTTTGAATCTAAGTTGTTTTTTCTTAGATCTGTTTTTCTGTTTTGTTTTGGCTAGCGACATGTCCATGTCCACTTGTACACATATACGATCTCTATTTTGTTCATCTCTATATATACTTTCAATGGACTATATTATAGTGTGGATGCAGCGATGTGGATGTAGCGGTGTGAACGCAGTGGTATGGACGCAGCGGTGTGGATGTTCTCCATTTGCATCTTCATTTCTTATAGATCCGGTCTACAGTTCTTGACAAAGCTCCCAAACTCTCGGTGAGCTTGCAGCTACTTTCCACCATCATATGTTGGTCTCCCGATTGCCACAGCCAAAGGTTTGTCCGGATTCGCACCTTGATCAATATGTGTATTCATGTGGACATGGACACAAAGCTTTGCACCGCTCTCTATTTATCCATAAGTGATGACCCCTCGACCAATTCTGCTTCCTCCAACGATGGACATAAAGTTTATGGATGTATCCACACAGATCAACATAATGCATTTTATGTTTTATATCAATATGGGTGTATCCACGTGGACATGGGCACAAAGCTTTGCATCTCTCATCCTCTTTACACCATATCCCCTATTGTCGCTTTTGTCTTAGCCACGACTCTCAGGATCTATCAAGGCAGGTGAGATCGTGATGTTCAAATCATGTCCATGTTATCTTATCCATGTGATCTTGTCCATTTTAATCTTGTCCAATCATGCTCATCTTGGATTGATACATGTGGATGTTTAACGAGGATATGTTACTCATTCTTAGGGACATACATACGAATATGTTTGTTTGGACACTTTAACTTGCGATTTTTATTGATGCATATGTAAATCTTTGTAGTCGACATGTCTTGAATACATATACGGAAATTAACTTGCTATGTACGTCTCTTTAATTATGTTCATATGGTCTCAAATTAACTTTCTATGATTTTATCAACTTACAACAAACAAAAAGAACGTGGCCATGTCCACACAGTTTCCATATATAAGAGTCTGCAAATGAACATGTATTATGTCTATACAGACCTTTCTAGACCTGTCCACATCGGTCGAAAATCGACTCTTTTGATATTATCAATCGTAATTTCTTTACAATTTAATTAATTTGATGATTTTGTACTCGCAATTTAATTAAGTTTATTATTATTAAATAATTTATGGACATGTACATGACAAACAAACTTTGATTCTAAGAAAAGATACTCAAAATAACTAAAAAAATATAAAAACCAACAATATAAATCTACCATGTGGCGTCCACACGGCAAAACAACATGGCCATGTCCACATGATTGCCATATAAAAGTCTACCATATGAATCTACCCTATGGATACATATATGTGTACAATACTTGAATATGTATAAGGTTTATTGGAATAGGGCATACTAGCGTAGGATTATTCTTAAATATTATGATTTATGGATATGTTTATTTAGACTAATTGTTAGTGCTATAGTATTTTCAATATTGAAGTTGTGAATATATAAAAGGTAGTCGAGAGAATATAAACCAATTGTCATGGACATTTAATTATATCTATATGGATATGTCCACATTAGTCAAAAATCAACTCACTAAAATATTATCAATTGTAATCTCTTTACAATTTTATTAATTTTATTATATTGTACACACAATTTAATTAATTTTATTATTTATGGACGTGTACATAGCAAACAAACTCTTTGTTTTTGAGCGAAGATATTTAAAATAACTAGTACGACGCGTACACGATAATATGTCCATATAGAAATATCCACACTAATTTAATTTGAGGCAACTATATTCAAACATTTTTTGATGAAAGAAACTACTGCACATAGATAACATTACACTCAAAGGATATGTCCACCAAAAAATATCTACAAGGAAAGAGAGTTATGTGTACGCGTCCACTAACTAATTTTGTGTACTTGTCCATATAAATTATTTTTTATACTGTTTGTTCTCCTTCTTATCTTCATACACAGCTGCCATAACCACATGCGATTCTAGTTCCAGAGACGATGGTTGCACGACCACGAGATCCAAGTGCAACTCTGTATCCAAATTCTTCACCAGCATCTGAGAACAAGCTTCACCAGCATGTGCATAAATTTTTTTAAGCAGATTTGAGAGTGAGGGAAGGAGAGAAAAGAGAGAGAGAGAAAGAGCAAAGGAGAAAAAGAGAGAGAAAAAAAACTGCTTCGTTGAAATAAAAGAAATGTCTATGAATGAAGGAGAGAAAAAAGAATTAAAGAGAGAAGGAAAAGAATGTTTAACCGATCGGTTTAGAAACTGGTTTAATATATACATTTTTACACATAAGGACTAAAATGGTTTTTTACACATATATGTTATAAGAAAAAGCCACTTCAAACGAAAGTGCCAAAATCTGTAATTTATAACTCAATAAGTGCCCAATTGTGTAAACCACTCTTTTTTTTTTGCTAAATGGTAAATAACTGTGGAAGATTTATTGTTCGTGTGTGATTATTTTATTTGTTTCGACAATAATGCTTATTTGCCTTTTATCTCATCTCATCAGTAAACAACTTGAGTTTCTTATCGGTTAGAAATAATTGTTGACCGTTTTGAGCATTTAAGCTTTGAATTTTTACTTTTTAAACAATTCAAATTTAGTTGGGTAAAGAACAACAATTATTATATTCTGGTACGGAACCTTTCAAATATAGACTTTTTTGCTTTTTATTTTGGTAGCTAAATACTATGATATCTAATATGACTAGGAAGAAAATTGTTTAAATCCCTAAAAATAAGATTTATGGAAGATAGAATACTTAATACATAAATTTTCCTATATGGTTGAGTTTCCTGTCTCTTTTGGATTAGTAGTATTATGTACTCATGCATTATCTTTCACCGCTACAAACCATACACATATAGTTTTTATGTTATATATTTTTCATATGTAACACAAAAAACACTTGTAAACATATATACTTACGCATATACAAATGTTTCTTTAATTTGTTTTTGAATTGATTATACAATTTATTTTATAAGACTTTTGTTTACATCAAATTTTTGTTGTATTTGACAGTAGAAAATAGTTAGAAAAGATAGCTAAACTTAAGAGCAAATAATTAGAAAGAAAATAAGAATTTGGTCAAAAATTTCTTGTTTTGGTTGAGTCTCTTGTCATTTTTTGATTTTGATATTGGTGCTGATATTAGTATTGCTTCTCATTATTGGTAATTTAGTAACACATGTGCTCAGCACATTATCTCCCTCTCTCTTAATAAATCACTACTCAATCTCTAGTTTTTCTAAAAAGTATTTATGTGCTTTGTCTATTTTAGAAATATGTTATTTTCCTTTGTGGTTGAGTTTATAGTTTTCTTAATATTGGGTATTGTAATCTTCTACATCCTTTTAGCTTTCACCATTTGTATCAATTTAGATTATAGGCAAATCTCATTAAAAAAATTGTAAAAAAACAATATTATTATACATGCGTACGTGTTTTCTCATATGTTTTCATAGTTAAACACACACAATATATATTTTTTTTTTGCCTAAAATTGGCTTTATATTCTCAAATCTCTTTAGATTTTGCTTTTGAATATATGATTTGGCTCATTTAATCATATCTTCTTGATTCTCTATTTTTCATATACATCCAATAAAGTAAAAAAGACTAGGTAATTGACTAAGCTTAGCCTAAAGTTCATAATGTGAAGATTAATCTTCAGATCTTATTAATATACAATCTTTGACACGTTTCATTCATAAACTCATTCTCTAGATCCGAAACTTATCTCTTCTTCAATTTCCACTTTCCAAGAGCCTATATAAGAAGATACCCTCACATCATTAAAAAATATAATAACCATAAAAAAAACTAATTAGCTCTCTAGAAAAATGGCTAACTCGAATATTTTTGTGATAGGAGACAATCAGGTGACTGAAGAGAAGCCTCCACCACGAGTATGTCCAAGGTGTAACTCAGACAACACTAAGTTCTGTTATTACAACAACTATAGTGTATCTCAACCGCGCTACATCTGCAAGAATTGTCGCCGACACTGGACTCATGGTGGAACGTTAAGGGACATATCGATTGGTGGACATGGACTTAAAACCAAGCGTCCAAAGATAGATCAACCTTCTGTTTCTCAGATAGTTTCTGTTGAGATCCAACAAGTTAATCACAACCAACCTTTCTTAAATGTTCAAGAAACCAACAAC